CCTGGCTCTGCCTCCTGAGTGCTGGGATTAAAGGCGTGTGCCACCACCGCCCGGCTGAGCGTTTTCTTAATGACCTACTTCCTCCAAGAAGGCTTTGCCTTCCACAGTCCCATCACCTTTCAATAGTCAATTTATATTTTTAGTCCATCAGTGGATTGCCCTAGTGACCAACCCAGCTCCTTTAAGATCTAATCATCTCAGAATGCACACACAGATACACCCAGGAAACTGATTCCTAACCTCAAAGGCAGTTCCCAGTCCAATCAAACTGATAATGAAGACTGACCATCCCCCACCATCAAGATCTTATCCCTTATTTTCATTGGCTAGTGTGTTTTTTTTTTTTTTTCAGTCACTCTGCACACACATTTCCACTGCTTGTTGGACTTCCCGAATTCTTTCATCTGGTTCTGGTTCTTGCTCTCTTCAAGAAGTCCAGACACAACACCCAGGCCTTTTGAACTGACCTTCCCATGTCACCTGCTTACTCCCTCAATTTGCTTTTCATTGGGTGTTTCTCCAGCCCTTGCTGCACGCTCTCTATAATACACAGTCTTTTGTATGTTAGGCACCATTCTGGATGGATAGAGACCCATGAAAGTGACACTGATTCTATCCTCATTGGAGGATAGAGGCTTAGAGTTCAGAGAAGGGATGAGCAATACAAATGCAAACAAACATGTTAACATAAAATGAAAAATATCACTAAGGAAATGTGTTGGATGATGCGATGGAGAATAACCGAGGAGGCATCAGTTGGGGGAACCCACACAAGCGCATGGTATCCAAGGGAAAAGCAACAGATGCTATAAACCATCCACTGTGATCATTTCTCTGCTTAGCCTAAGCCCTTCCATGATCTGCTGTCTAGGTGGTCTGCTGCTGCCAGACTGCTTACATCAATTTCATGACGTCATCCCTACCTCCATAACTAAAAACCATGAGACAGAAAAACTCCAGGATTTCTGCCATGTCTAATCACTGCCCATTGCATGTGGGATAGGCCTGTGGGTATAATCCTTCCGTGATTAATCTACTAATCAGTAGACTCTGGCTTAATCAAAAGGGAAATTGTTCTGGGAGAGTCTGCCCTAATCAGGTGAACCTTAAAGGAACTGAGTTGTTCCTGAATTCAAAGCGCTTCAAAGCATGAGAAATTATCCTGCCTCGAAGATAACACTGCTCTTGTTGGTTCTCCGGCAGGGAATGTAAAATGCCCAGAGAAACCCTGGCTGACATCCTGCAAGATGGTAAGAACCACACTGCTACAGCTCTAAGAAACTGAATCCCACTGACAACCTGAACATGTCGGGAGGACTATTCACAACCCCGCCCACAGCGTGGGTTCTGTCTTGTAAACCAAGACCCCGACTACATGCGCAAGTGTTCTGACTTCCAGAAATTGTGAGGTTAAAGTGGTTGTGGTTTATATTTCTAAACTTGCGATAATTTGTTCCACCGCAGTGGAGAATGAATATACTGTCACTGGCTTCTCTTGTATACACATGCCAAAACCGATTTTCCTCAGTGTGAGCCTGACTTCCTTTGCGAACATGATCTTTTATTGGTTCCTGGGATGAACTCATGGTTCCAGCCAAATTGGCCTGGTGGTGGAAACTTTCCCACAGTCTTTGTCCGGTCCATTATCCCTCCTTCTCCCTGGGAGTTCAGTCTTGCCTTCCTAGCATCCCAGCTAGCTCTTGAGGAACCTCCCTGGGCCTCTCCAGCTAGACACTTCCAGCACTGAACTTACATGCAAATAAACAACCAATGGCATTGACATCCTGAGTGTAGCTGTCTTGACTCATCATTGACCTGGAGAGAGATGGCCACTTGGTTTAAAATACTGAATGGCTCAAAGCATCTTATAGCTCAGTATTCCCGATAGGTCCATGCAACAAAGCAAGTAAGAAGTTATTGTCTGTCTCAGTGGCCATGAAAGGTTTCCTTCCTCTTACAAGAATTACTTAATCCTAGCCAGCCTCATGTGATTTTTAGATATGGGTCTCAATGTAGATCAACAATTTTTTTTTGTCTTTTCAGTTTCCAGGGAACAAGGATTTAGGGCAGGAGCCTCCTTCATCTGTCTTGGGCATCTCAAAGCTTGGGCTGAGGAAGAGCAAGATGCATGCTGGGTGAGAAGGGGTTGGATGATGGTCCCTGTGCCTCCCGTGTGTTCATCTCCTGTGCTCCTGCTCTGCCTTGTATGCAGCTAGCGTTTGAGAGTCAACATCTCTGTTCCTGACAGAACAGTGTAAAGATCGCTTGAGTTTTGAAATGAAAGCTAACTCTGACTTTGGATTATCACAGTGTCAAAGGTGGCTTCCTTCTGAAGATGGAGAAATAGAGTTCTTGATTTCATAAAGCCCTGTTAAAAGTCCCTATAAATTCCAAGGGAGGCCTTGGGGGTCCCGTTCCTTTCTTCTGGAGCACACATTACAAACCCTCCCTTGAGCTCCTGCCTGGCTGTGCAGGGACACCACATGTTTCCCCTGGTGGTCCTCCAGGCCTTTCAATCCTGGGGAACTTCTTTTCTGCTGCGGCTCCAAGTCAGATGTGGTCACTAGGGCCTTGCTTAGTGGTGACCCTTGGAGGAGAGGCTGAGTCCTGCTGCTGTCGTGGACAAACAGCTACAGCTGACGGAAGGCTGGGGAGCGGAAGACATGACCATTGTCTTGGGCTTAGACTTGCAGTCTTCCTTTTGGTCATACTTATTTTTTTTATTTCATACATTTTATTATTAAAAAAATGCAAATAAACAAAAACATCACACACCAAAATTAGCCAGCCCAAATCCTTAGATGTAAAATAACCCAGTCATGCTATATATTCAGTGATGAGCTAACAGACAGCTAATAACTGGCTCTCTACAAACACACACACACACACACACACACACACACACACACACACACACACACAC